GGGTGCCTGGGTGCAGGGAGTATTCTAACTACACCCACGGAGAACAGGACTGGTCTTCAATTTTTATTAGCAAATTGCATGTGAAACGAGCTTCCAATGTGACCTGGTGAAAGTCACTTCACCTTTCTGGGCTTCAGTGTGGTTATCTATAAATGAGATGAGACTAGATACTCCAGGGTCCCTTCCTCTTTGAAGCACTGTGAAGCAAACTGCCACTAGCAACCTGTGGCAGCACTTGGGTGGGACAAAGACCCTTTCGAGGTCAGCACAGATCCATCACTAAACAACTTCTAATCCTGTCTCCTAGATCCCCTGACACAGCTCCCCCTAATCCAGAGCCCCATGCAGCTCAAAGACTGACCACCCAGTTTCTACCGGAGTGCTGAAGCAGGTCTAAACTGAGCTTTGCGTGCCAGCTGGGTGCTGAAGAAATGTGGCAGTGGCCATAGCACAGTGTGGGGTTCAGAGAGCCCATGGCCCAGACCTCAGCACATGTCCCACCACCTGAGCCAGCAGATGATTCTGGCCACAGCAGCTGAGGCATCTGGAGAGGGGCAGGGATCCTGGAGAAAGGGCTCTGCAGAGACAGTAGACGAAGTGGGACGTCTTCAAGGGAGTTTCACCCACTGCCTATATTGGGGGACTAGCTGGAAAGCCTTTCCAGAGATCGCACATTCACACAATTTTAGAAATACTTTAAGCACAGTGATTCAACTTTTAGTAAGCACATACTTGGACCTGGGAAAGGCCCAGACCCACTGCCAGGGCAGTTAGTCTCAGGAGTTACTCATCGTTTCAACCACCCCACTGGTCTTGGTATAAAAGGAACACTGGGTGGGGAGTCAGGAGAGTCGAGTATGAAGCTTCACTTACTACTTCCTGTTGAGTGACCTGCATGGGCCGCAGTGTACCCTCTGTAAAGTGGGGTGATCATGAGAATGAGCAAACAAACATGAAGGCTCTCATGGGATCTGTGAGTGCCACCGTGCTGGTGTCACACAACAAGCAGCGACCTGTGCATGGTCCCTTGGCAGCTCAGAGAGGAGGGAAATGAACGAAAGTGAGAGTTAAAAATGACAACTCCAGAGCAGTCACAATGCACTGACTGGCTCAGCACTCATCCCAGGCCTAAGTTTTTTTTTTTCGTACTGGGGATCGAACTCGGGTCCTTGCCCTTGAGCAGCAGGCAGCCAAACCACTGAGCTAAATCCCTGCCTCCCAGGCCTATGTCTTTCCTAGCCAAAAGGCAACACCTGAAAGAGGAGAAGGGGATGAGGGTGCTGGGGTGTGGCTTGGTGGCAGAGCACCTGCCCAGCATGCACGAGACCCCAGATTTAACCCCCAGCACAAAGAAAAGAAAGAAGGAAAAAGGAAAAAGAAAGAATTAGTACAGAGTGAGTATTGTAGGCAGCTCACTAATAGTGTAGAAGTGACATGGAAAGGAGAAAAAACAAACTACAAAAAAGGAGGAAAAAGAACTATAAAAAGCCTAGGCCCACTTTCTGACTATCTCAGAGAGTTCCTCTAGGATAGCACTCTACTGTTCTGACCTACTTCTATCGGGTCAGATCCAGCGTATACTGTTAAAAGGCAGCAGAGGTGGGCATGGTGGTGCATGCTTGTAATCCCAGCACTCAGGAGGCTGAGGCAGGAGGAACACCAAGAATTCGAGGCCGTCACATTGAGACCCTATTTCAAAAAACAAAGCAAACAAAAAAAAAGGCAGCAGAAAAATTCTCCAAAAATGCTTAAAATTTGGTCTTTTGGTGCTTAAAAGCCTTCAATTTGTGGGAAAAAAAGCTGGGTGTGTGGCCTGTAATTCCAGCACTCCAGTGGCTGAGGCAGAACTGCAAACTGGAGCCCTAGCTTGGGCAACTCAGTGGAACCCTGTCTAAAAAAAAAATGCTGGCGATGTAGCTCAGTGCAAAGGCCCTGGTTCAATCCCCAGTACTGCAAAAAAGAAAAAAAAAGTGGAAAAATTTCGCTTACATGAAACTGTTCAAAGATCAATAAAGTCAGACAAATGTACTTGCTGTGTAAAGACATATGGCATCTAACAGAGGGGAAATCTCTTAACTACTTTTTTTTTGGGGGGGGGGGTTGGTACCAGGGATTGAACTCAGGACCTTGCACTTGCGAGGGAGGTGATGGAACCACTGAGCTAAATTCCTGGCCCTCAACTACTTTTTTTACAAAAAATTCTTGATGCAAAAAATGAGTTTAAGAGTTAAGACTTTTCCACCATTTTCCTTGGAGGAAAGAAAGGCTTGCATTCTTGGTGATTTTGTTTCAAGGAAAAGCCATTTGAAGACTGAAACAGGGCAAGATGAGAGACTGCATAGTATGTCCTCCTCTTGCCCAAGAGTTTTACTTCTTGTTTAGAAAATTCAGAGGTGGGCAGTATATGGGAAAAGAAAGGAAAAGAAAAGAAAAGATAATAATAAAATTCAGAGGTTTCAAAAAAAAAATCTCCCTTTATCCCATGTATTAGTCATTATCCACAAGAGAGAGCTCCAAGGGCAATGGACAGAGAGCCTTGCTTGGACTGGCTCTGGTGATGCAGCGACAGGGAGGAGCTCAAGTCCCATCCTGTCTCTAGCTGGTCTGAAGTGAACCCAAAGGTCAGCCCTGGGAGATGTGTTTTTTCTCACTGTCTCACATTAGCCCATGTCTGTCTTGAAGATAACTTTTATATTAATTTTAAGCTCTGCAGGGAAGTTAAAAACTGGAATGTTTTGCTATTTACTCAAAATAAGTGAAAGAGGGCAGTTTAAAAAAAATTTTTTTTTGGAGACAGGGTCTTGCTATGTAGTTCAGGTTGGCCTTGAACTCACTATGTAGCCCAGGCTGGCCTCAAACTTTGGGGATCCTCCTGGTTCGGCCTCCTAAGTGCTGGGATTATAGGCATGCACCACCACACCCAGTAGGTTCTCTATTTTTTAATTTTTAAAGCAACTGACTGAGGTCCACCCACGTCTTCAAGTTGAGAGGGAAAAGGGAAATAATAGCTGCCCCTTGTTATCAATGGAGCACTACAGGGGCAGGCAGGCATTGTGTGTAAACTATTTCACCTACTGTCAAGTCCTGTGCAGGATCATTAGTGTACCTATGTTAGAGATGAGGAAACCAAGACTCTAGGGCAGTGGTTGTGAACCCATGGCACTCGTGCTACAGCCAGCTGTCTGTATTATTAAAAGCTCTAAAAGATTTCCCATCACTGCTCTACATGCTAAGAGACTTGCCTGGATTTCAAGGTTAGTAAGCAACATAACAGACACTTGAACCTGGGCATTAGGTCAATATGGTACAAAGGCCCACGTGTTTGAGTCCACTCACTGCTCTGGACATTGCCTTCTAAGTGTATTAGAAAGTAAATGAAACACTGAAAGAAAATGAGTACCCACAGTACCCTCCCTATCTGTCTCAGAACATTATTTGTTCTACACTCGGTTCTCTTTTCCCTTAAAGTCATAAGCTGGCATGGAAGGGGTAAGGACTGACTACTGATCGGCATTTTCGCCACCTGAAGAGCATGCACTGTTCTAACTCTCCTCAGAATTGTCTGATACAGGAGCAACAACTTATTTTGGGCCCTTTGGTTATGTCACAAAAGCAGACTTCTAAAAATACCACTTTTTCACAGGGTATGGTGGCACATGCTGGTAATCCAAACTACTAGGTAGGCTGAGACAGGAGGATCACAAGTTCATGGCCAGCCTGGACAATTTAACGAGACTCTGCCTGTCTCAAAACATAAATAAAAAGGTGTAGCTTAGTGGTAGAGGGATTATCTGGGTTCAGTCCCCAGAACTTCAAAACAGAACAAAACAAAACAAAACAAAACAAAACAGCTTATTTTAAGAGGTGAAAGGGACCCTAAGAGATTGTCAGCTTGTGACAGCACAGCAGAAGTACAAGGGTCCCTTCTGGTTCACAACACGGACAGGGCCAGACCCAGTCTCTCCAAGCCCTCCAAGCCCAGTCTGCAGGTCTGTGGCTCCTGCAGAGACTGATGCCTGGTCTGCATCACAAAGTCTGGGTGTGACATTACTTCTGTCTGCCCATGAAGGAACAAGGGGAAGAACACACATTTGGAGAGCAGCTAGGAGTGGTATCGTGTGAATACGGAGTGTGATGTGAAACACAGACAAAGCTACCAGGCTGGGGATGTGGCTCAGCACAGAGCATGTGGTCATCACACTGAGGCCCTAGGTTTGATCCACAGCATAGGAAAGAAAACCCTCCCAAAAGGCCAGCTCCTACCTTTGGCACAGATGGTGACTCAGAGCATTCAACCCTTTGAGAATTCTCCAGCTCTGCAGAGCCATTTCATGCTCAGGTCTCCTCCCCATTCAAACATTTGCCAATGCACACTAAAGGTAACAGACACTTATCTGGATTTATTTGCAGTCTAATCTTTCTACACCAATTGCCCAGATAAGTATAGACCAAATATCTACAGGGTTCATTACATTTTGGCTGGCTGAATCTTTGATATCTATAGAATTTTATTTTTTGAGGGGGGAGGGAGGAGATGGGGTCTTGCTATGTTGCCTAGGCTGGATGTGAACTCTCCATCCTTCAGCCTCTGCTACCCAAGCAGCTGGGATTACAGGCATGTGTCACTACTCCCAGCTTCTGATACACATTTCTGATAATATCTTCTGAACTCTGTGCAGCACAGTTATAGGCTGCAGTGACTGTGTGGTTCTGTGGTAAGTAAGTAGAGGGACAACTTAGAAAGCCTGGGCTTCATTTTATAGTTTTAAAGCAGAATGGAGATAGGAGGGTTGAGAGTTCATCGGTGTGTGGGTCTCAGAGTCATTTGGTTGGTATGCCTCTGCTTTGCTGTTTATGAAACAGGAACTGAACGTGGATGTCATACAACATAACTGAAGTGCTCTGCACACTCCAGAGAAAGATAAAACCTTCTAAAGCCATGTCCCTATGTCCAAAGGGAAGGGAACCCACACATTCAGGGGTTCACCCACAGCACTCACCTGTAGCGCTCCTCCTGCAGGGTCTGCATTATTAAGGAGTAGTCCCTCTGGTAGTGCTCCTTGAGGGTCTCGAAGGACTCCTCCAGTCTGGCCTGGGTCTCACGGATCTCCTGGATCTCATGGAGCAGTGCGTCAAACCCCGAGCTCTGCATGTCGAGGGTGTTGGTCTTGGAGCTAGATGCCCCCACAGCTATGCCCCCCGTGGTACTGTTGGCCCCCACAGAGCCTGATGTGGCACTAGAGCAGTCTTCCTCACTACCATATTTTGGACTGGACTGAAAGTTTGAAATCACTCCCAAAACCTTGGCCCCATCCTCCACTTGGCCTTCCTCCAGAGAGTCCTTCAGGTTAGGGATGTTGTCTGCACTGCCAAATTTATTCCGAATCAGCGAGGCAATCTCCCTGGGCTTGGAGACCACGGCCCCTGCTGCCGAGTGGGTGGCCTGGGAGAAGCTGGAGAAGCCACCTTTGACACTGTCCACCACACCTTCGCTGAAGCCAGTCACCTTGGCTCCCACGTCCTTCAGGCCCTGGTGCATGTCCCTGAAGACATCCTTTGGCTGCCGGGGGATCCCATTCTGTTCCACCTCTCGGAGCTTCCGGTGGTAGTGTTCAAGCTTCTTCTGCAGCTGGAGGATGGTCTGGGCAGACTTCTGGTTCTTCTTCTCGAAGACCTGCTTGATTCGTGCAGCCTGCTGCTTGTCGGCACTGTTGGCGAGCTTCAAGTACTCAGCAACATTGTCATCCCGGGCTGTCTGTGCAATCTTGATCTGCTCTGTGAGCTTCAGGATCTTCTGCTGCAGGTGGGCGATGGCTGCCTTTGTGCGCTGAGGGTCAGGGATGCCATCCGCAGGCTCGGTATGGATGCTGCCATCAGCGCTGGAGGCCACTGCACTGGAAGCTTGGGCGAGGCTGCTTACTTCCAACCGCTCGAGCTAGCACAAAAGCAAGAGGGGGACATTACAAGGAGCCCAACGGGACTTATCTCCTGACTCAATGAGCTAGCATGCACTGGACATTTGCCTGCTCTCAACTCCCAGTGCAGACAGCTGACCTACAGGGACCCTCCTATCCTGAGCAGGCCGTCTCCACGTGAATCCTGTCCTAATATATGCACACTCTAAGCAACACAGATATGGTACATGAAAAAGATCTGCCAGAGACAGTCAACTGAAGGTAATCTTCACAGTATTTCTTTAAATGACAAAGCTCTCTAAGTAGGGTTAAAGCATGAACCGATTCACATTTTGTTCAGAAGCAAAATCTATGCAAGACAAAGCTACATTTGCTTTTCAATATAACTGGATGAAAACCACTTCAGTGTTCAGACATTAATCACTATTAATTCTGGTCCACGCTCACAGATTAGTCAGCAGAAAATGTTGGTAAGCACACGTATGGTCTAGTGCGGCAAGGCCCTGGGTTCCGGCTCCAGCTGCTCTAGTTTTCTCTCTTAGGTTCTCATATTGCCGTGAATATTAATTTACATATAATCAGTTGACTAAGACAATGTAGATACAGAAATCAAGTTCAACTATTAACCTGGGAAGATCAAAATGGATGATACTAGTGAAAAGATGGTTTAGGGGCTAGGATCAAGGTTTGGTTATATCTTTAAAATAAAAACAAACTTTCAATTAAGTATTATTTACAAATGATCAGATTTTAGATGTGATTTTTATTTCTGTACATAGTAACTATGAAGAAAGCCAGACTGTCTCTGGTCCGCTTTCTGTCCCCATATGTGCCCAACCTGGGCAGGACTCCAACTCAGAGTCATCCACACGCCTTCCAGAGGACAGTGGACAGAACCCAGGGCCTCAGCCTCTAGAGAAAACCAACCCACACAGCCACAGCAACACCACAAGCAGGAATGATGACCCAGTAACTCCTCTGGATTTTGGCAGGCACTGGTGTTAGGAAGGAGACACTGAAAAATGGAGTGGGAGCGGGGAGCAGAGTGAAGAAACACAGGGCAGCAGAGGTGAATGCCTCTTTTTGAGCTGCAAACAGTCCTTGGGGCAGTCCGTGTTCTGGGGTACACACTTGGCCCTAAAAGTGTGAGTTATCAGCTGAAAAGTGGTCACCCTACACAATCTCACCAGCTGTAAGATGGAGGTAACACTTCACTCAGGAGACTGCTATGAGGGTGGACTGTGTCCACAACCACAAAAGCTGTGACCACAGAAGAGGCTGTGAGCACTGGCTATTATTTTTGTACCATCTGAGTAGTTCTTTCCAAAAATTCAAATATTAAAAGATTCTGGAACAGACTCCCTCCTAAGACCTTTCACATTTCACACACAAACAAGGAAACTATAAAGCTGAACTGAAGGAACACTGTCCTTTGACACTACAGGACCATAGTGGTGAACCTATGGCACTAGTGCTGCAGCCAGCTGTAACTGTCCCTGCTTCAGAATGTCACCTTTCTAGACAGCAGGCTTAATTCACTGATTGGGATCTGGCCAGCTAACCTCTGTCTCTCACAACAAGCCTACGTAATCCACACTGCCACCCCAGTTTACACCTCACTCCGGCAGGCAGGACAAAGACATCTACTGATGGTGTCTCTCCTGACCATGTCCCAAGGGGCTGTCATTTCTGATAATCCTGTCTTCCTTCAGTGGCGACAGGAACCACGTGGCCACCAGTTCTGTTCTATCACTGTAACAAGCAGGTTACAGTGTTTTGCCTGCACTTTTGTTTCTTACTATTAAGAACTCGTTTGCCAGACTTAAATTACCTATTAACTGACATGAATTAATTGATGGGGATCAAGCCAGTACCTGAAAACAATGACCCCTCAGGGGGTGATGGAAGACATCCAGGGCCCAAACACCAGCGTGCAATACCACTGCCTGCTTCCCCTCAGGGTCCACCAGCAACCAGTAGAGAGGATGAGCACCCACAAGGTCCAAGACCCTAGGCTCAGACTGACTCCACCAGGCTCACCAGGCCACCCGTTTGCTTGAGTTGAGCCTGCGTTGCTTCTCCTATATGATACGGCTATTATCTTTCCATAAGATTTTTTTTCAAAAGATGCTAAACATGTCTAATCAGGGGCTAGGGGTGTGTAGTTCAGCTATAGAGTGTTTGCCTAGCAGGTGAGAGGCCTTGGGTTTGATTTCTGACACTGTCAAAGAATGCTACCACCCCAAAAGCAAAAAAAAAAAAAAAAAAAAAGTGTTAAATCAGATTATACCCAACAAACATAGTATTAAATAGAAATTACATGTCACTGTTTTGGATTAAACTCCCACATGGGGCCCCAAAAGATCACACTAAAAATCAAAACAGAGTCCACATCATTAACTTGCATCATCTGACCTTCAATCAGGATTAGAGGTCACAGACAAATCTCCCTACAGGCTAGTTTCAATTGGTGTGATCACCAAGTCCCTCTGCTTTAATGCTTATGCAACAAAACCAACCTAAGGTAACCTGATGTTACCCAGTTAGACTGTTTTCTATTGTTCTCTTTTCCTATCATGTCTTACAAGGAAAACAACTCTGAAATGACCCTTTACCTTTTGTTTCTGCTTTCTTCAGCTTTTTTCTTTTCAGTACTTGGGATTGAATCAGTAGGGCCTTCCCACTGACTTACATACCAGGACCTATTTTTATGTTTTATTTTGAGACAGAGTCTCTTTAAGCCACTAATTTGTCCAGGTGGGCTCAAACCTGTGATCCTCTTGCCTCAGTGTGCCACCATGCCCAGCTTCAGCCTTTTCTGTCTTTAAAACCTCCTCTGGGGCCAGGGATTTACCTCAGTGGTTTACCCGAGTTTGATTTCCAGTACCAAAAAACAACAACAACAAAAAACACCTCCTCTGCTTGGTTCACTGGGACAGTTATTTTATGAAATAAAATCATGTCCAATTCTAGAATGAGAAAGCCAATTAAGATTATTTGACTAAACTTTCAGTTTTGTCCTTCAACAATAGTATTCAAATTGGGTGTAGTGGTGGCCTGCCTGTAATCCCAGCACTGTGGGAGGCTGAGGCAAAGGAGACTGGAAGTTCCAGGTCAGCCTGTGCAATTCAGCAATTTAGTGAGGCCCTGTCTCAAAAATAAATAAATAAATAAATAAAATTAAAAAGACCTGGGGATGTC